GCCCCTCCTAAACGTTGAAGGGGTGGTGCTGAACAGCAGAAAAAAGCAATACAAAGGATAGTTTGGAAGGAGGTCGGTTCTGGTTTCATCAAAATGGGACATAATATATAAATTATATAAATAAATGCCATAAGTTTCTATGAACTGTCTTTTAAAAAGGGATATTGTGGCACAACCAAACTTGTCTGTCAGGAGGAGAAAACACCTACAATGTACAAATAGAAGGCTTAGGGAATGCTTGACTATAATTTTTGAGAAATTTGGTTTCTAATTGCCAAAGGATTAATGTGAATCGTGAAAATTAAGACCAGCAGTTCTCTGCTTTATAGGGAAGGACACATCCTCTGCCTAATTATTAAAATTTGTTTTAAATAATTAGACCACAACTGAAAAATCAGGAGAGCAGCACACCAAAATTGATGCAGGATGAACACTTTCTAAATTACTTTTGCTTAAACTTCGTTATACTTAGTAAAGGTCAAAATATGCAAGTTTACCAGAAATGTTCTGTTCATCAGCATAATCTTGCTAAAACCTACGCACATAAATTGTGACAGTGTGTATTTTGTATTGCCTGCTTTATGATTTATTTAAATAACAAATAAAGAAAAGTAGCTTTTTGTGTGGCTTCCAAGCCTTGTACTAAGTATTCTCCACAATGTCTGAGGTCAGAATCCAAGCCAGCCTCCTTCAGCAAGAGTGGAGAGATGCTCGTCGGTTCCACTATGAATTGAACTCAACCTGAAAGGAGCCTTTGGCAACTGTCTCTAAATCAATGGAGAGAGCTGTGTGTGCAGTGTGTCTCCTTCTATGGCAGGCACAGAAATAGAAATGCAGTGGTTGTTGATGGTTTTTTTTACCCAAAGAAAACCTTTTAACACTACTAAGATTCAGAGAAGAAAACAATAAGGAAACTGTGAGAAAGATGATGTGCCACATGCTCTGGCTATAGTAAGTAATGAATCAAACAGAAACAATTATAATTTTCATTAACTACAAAAAAAAAAAGATTAGGAGAATAAGTTATCTAACTATAATTACAGCAGGCCATTGTTGATGTTACGTAGCAATATTCTATCAAAGCATGTAAATAGGGCCCATCTGTTGCACCTATGGTTTTGTAGAATTTAAAAATTAGTCTGTGTTTTATGTAATTCAGTCAGTTTTGGTTTAAAAAACAAGTCTGATTTGACTGCAGCCAAGAAGGATGTTTGACATTTCTTACCGTTCATTCATTTTCAAAAATCATTCAGATGGAAAAACTGCTTGTTATGGTATTCAGTAAAGGAAAAAATGAGTTATAGAATTATTGTGTCAGAATTTCCTGTAGGATAAATGAAAATGAAATAAAAGTTCATAAGTGATTTGATCACTAATTCTGAGATTTACAAACTACCTGGGAATTGTTGCAGTGTAGGAAGTGATAGGACCAGCTGTGCTTGTTGCATTATTTTTGTTGAAAACGAATTCTTCTCATGTGAATGATGTTACTAGTCCATCTTGGAATGGGGGAGGTTGCCAGGCGAGTTTTTTTTGCTAGCATTCATTATTATTTTCATGCTGTCCTCTGTACAGAAAAAAAAATCCCGTTTCTATAGGAATTTTTCCAAACTGAGACGCCAGGGCTGAGTTTCCTCAGTTCCAGATGCTTTGTCAGAACTGTAGTTCCCTGAGAGCTGGAACTCATGCATACCTGTGGAAGCAGATGAAAGAATAGGAGTAAAAATAAGATACTGAATTACTTCTGCTGGTACATGCCTGAAAAAAAAATCATCAAAGGTTATTATAATTATGACTGTTATTAGATACCATGTCTGGTTTCTGCATATTTAAATTCTTTCTGAGAGAGGTGAAACTTAGACACTTTGAGATCCCAGGGGAATAATTGCAGAAATGATGACATATTCCACTTCTTGAACAAATTTCAATACCAAAGCTGCATTCTGCGTACTTATATTTCTTCTTAATTATACTTGGATGCAGGAGAGATAGTCATTTTCTGTCTTAGAAATGCATGTAGCCAATTAGTCTTGTAGATCATGAATACTCCATGGCCTAACTCATTAAATGGAATTTTCCTTCTCTGTTGTTATAGCAAAAGAGTCTGCAAATAGCTGAATGTCATATTTCTCTGTCAGCTCAGCCTTGGCCAAGGCTACAAAGCCAGTAACTTGAGCAAGTGAACAATTCTTGGGTTTACCCATACTCCTTAAAGTATGCCATCTTAGTCTTGTATATATGTGTGTGTGTGTATGTATTGTAAATTGGTGTAGGGTGTTTGCTCCTCTGCACTTCTGGTACTCAATTTTCATTTTAATACCACAGTTTTGATGCTATGAGACAAATTTCTGATTTCCTCCCATTCTCAAGAAATTCTGAGCCCAGAAGCTCTCTCTGAGACCTAGAGACCTTCATGGAAGCAAAGATAAGAAAAATTGGCAATGTGTCTCTGATGAAACCATTGCTTATATCAAATGATCAAACACAGGTGTTCTTTTCTTTTTCCCTCTGATTTTTATATATTTTTTTATGTATCATGCTTGTTTTTCTGTCATCTGAGAGTATGAGGATAACCCACGTAATTTAGGCTATCTCACAGGCAGGATTCATAGAGATGATGAAGGCAGAAAGTTATGACCAGAGAGAAACAGGGAACCACAAGACAATTGTGAAGTGAGTTCCGGACCCAGTATTATTTTGAGCCGTTTTTGCTAAGTTATGGTATTGCTAAATAATTATACAATGTGAGGGCATGAGCTGGAGGTTGGGCTTTCAGTGGCGCTTTTCAGTGGTAGCACGTGTCCCCAAGGGTGAGTGTTGCTTATCTAACATTTCCTCCTACTCCTTTTCATAATATTGCATGATATCTGAGCCTTTGCTACTGTAGTGCTACAGCAGATACTGGATTGTGATTTTGAAAGCTATGGTCTCAAATATTATAGAAACAACAAAACCTCTCCATTCAGGGGAAATGTACCCTGTAATCTTATTACTGGTGCAGTTATCTGCAGTGTCGCTTTGAAAGGTATTTGCAAAACTCTTTTGGGGGTTTGAATTGAATTTCTTGAAAGAAAAAAGCATCTTACTGTTCGGCGGAATGGTAAACGGTTACACTGGAGTTAGATTACTAAAATTTCAATGTGTTATATCTGTTGTTATTTGTAATTGTAGATTTCCCAGAGAAACATGAATAGAAATTTTAAGCGTGCTATAAGCAACTTTTAAAAGTACGCAAAAATATACATCTTTTCCACTATTTGGATTCTGTTACTGGTTTTGTTACTGGACCCACATTTGTGGTGCTGGGGAATTAGCTCTAACTGCGTGTGGGGAGATGAGCTGAGTGCTCGCTGTCTCCCTGCCTGCTCTCCAGGGTTTAATTCGAGAATACTTCAGGTATATGCACAGCAAAGGGAAGGCAAGAGTTATTCCATGAAGTCTTTCATTTTGGCGAGTGGAGAATTATATCTGTATCGTGTGTGTGTGTATAGATATATATGCATATATGTGTAATGTAGGTATGATATAGCTGTTCGTATTTCTTCATGGTTTTTTTTTCTCCCACTGACTTAGAGAAAATCCTAATCTTCCCTTTAACTGCTTATGCCTTTAAGAATCAAAACGTTATTATCTTATTTCTTTTATCTCCCACTGACTTAGAGAAAATCCTGATCTTCCCTTTAACTGCTTACGCCTTTAAGAATCAAAACGTTATTATCTTATCTGCATCTCCTTGCTAATTCACATGGATTTATGATGGAGGCCTTAAAACTTCTACGTAACAGTTGCCACTAGGATGTGGTGGAAGTCTTCCAGGGAGGGGAAAGGGTCTTGAAAGCAGCTTTGCTCACAGCTATTAAAAGTTTGGAGAAAAATGTGAATTTTTGATTCTCAAAATAGTGGCTGCATAAAAGGAGTGAGTAAATTTAACTTGCTAGACAGTTGTAATTTGCAGAATGCATTTGTCAAATAGTTTGGAAAGAATCCAGGGCACATTTAGATGAAGAAAAAAAAAAAAATACAGATGGGCTAACGCTAAAACTGTGAGGTAAATGTCCTCCCAGGTTTGCAGAAATTAGGCTATAAACTTCATTACACAACTCAGCAATGCACAAAATCAAAAGGTGTCGTGCAGGGGATTTTGAACTTTGGGGAAAGTCAGATTTTGTTTCATGTCTACTTGGCAACCAAATGCAACTGATTTGTCCTGGGGTCTCCCATTTAACTAATTGCAAAACTGGTGCTTCTTTTAAACTGTGTTAGTGCATTTGGAAATTGGGAGATATAATTGATACACTGGGCTTTTTAGTCCAGTGTTTATTTGGCCTTTTATATCGCTATGCCTGCGAGTTGATAAAAATTCTTCTTCATTGAGTCTTTGTAATATGCAGTGTTGATTCCACTGTCATGGAAATCAGTGTGATCTCACAGGTACAGCTTAGTGCAATCACCAAGAAGGGATACAGAGATGCCCTATCATTGTAAATAACAAGTGTGGCTTTATAAAAACAAGGCAGATAGATGAGCTTGATGGCACCTAGAAGTTGTGCAGCGTCCTACAGTTCTCTGCTTCTCTCCGGTGCTGCTAATTGTTTTATTTGTTGTAGGGCTGTTGGGGAGAGAGGTGTTACCCTTTTTGTGATTGATTGCAGTTTTATGCTGAAGGAAAGGTTTTTCTTTAGTTGGATGAAGCCGTAATGGACTCTGTGCACATCTGACGTTATTATTTGTTATTGTATTAATAAGTAAAAAACCAGTTTGTATTTCTAAACTGGATTTTCATGTTAAGCCATTACATTACCACAGTCCTACCCCTCAATTCTGACTTTCAATCCTATAAGTTTTAGGCAATCTGAACTAGGGCTTTCTCTGCCCAGCTTTCTTGCTGATACAGAATTTCCTCAGGAAATTTGATTATTTCTGTTAAGAGTTGCAGCTCTCTTCTGATTGTAATTCATTATTTTTGTTTTCTGAGTCATCTTTCGTCTTTTATTTTCCAGGTTGGTGAGAGGCAGAGGGTTCTGGTAACAGAAGAATCCTTTGATTCCAATTACTATGTTGCTCACAATCCTTTCTATGAGCAGGTAAGATTAAATAACCAAAATAACATCTTTTTGTTTTATCTTCGCTTTCTGATAATCTCAGCAGCACAGTGTGCCACAGTGAAAAAAAAAAAAACCCAAGTAAAGAAATAAGAACATTTTCCGATGAAGGTGTGACCATCAAGACTTGTTTATGAGATACTTTGTTTCTGTGTTGTAAATACAATTTACCTGAAATTATGTTGGGTGGCTCTTTGAATATACAGTGTAAGGAGGATACATGCTATATATCCAAATAACATTATTTGAATGGTTTAAAAAGCTGTTAATTATTGTGGTAATTTTAATTTCTGTGTCTTCAAAGCATTGTTTTTGGAGTAGATGAATCTTAATCATTTCCATGCATCTCTCAGAAAATATTTTCAGACAATGCAACTTGGAAAAAAAATAAACAGAAGGCTCAGAAATTTCTTTAGATTAAGACTTCAGCCTGCTATGTTGTATTTCCTTCAGTGTACTTTCTATAAATTAATTCTTTCCCCACAGAAACATTATCTTTGAACTAAGAAGAAAGTACAATTCACAGTATTTTACACAATTATTATTTTTGCTCAAAAGCAGATGACTTGCTGAAAACCAATAAAATTGGGTTTTCTGAATCATCATGATTTCATTCTGGTTTTGCCTTTGGCTTGTTCCCCATTTTGTTACACTGAGCTATCTACAGTTTGCCTTTGCTACCTTTAGTTAGCCAGCTGTCTGAACCTGGAGAGCCTGCTGGTGATGGCTGTGCTTATAAAGTCACCAGTAGTGCTTTCTTCTGGTTTCAGGCTATGTTGCAGCATTTATTTATTTATTTTTGCTTAGCAGTAAGTAACATTAGTGCTCTTAAAATATCCGTTTCTATTAGATATCTAGTTTACTAATTTATTTTTTTCCTACAGTTTTGGGGTTTTTTTTCTTGATAAATCTCTTTTTTCTGCTATTACATCTCTACACTCTGTCTACGTCTTATATATCGCTTTTGTAGCTTATCAGTCAGATTTGAGGAACATGGTTTTCCATATAGAGATTAAGAAGAAATTGCTTGGGGCTTTTTAGTGTTCACTGCTTGTTTTATGAAAGTTTCATTAATTAAGGGAAAAGCAGTTTGTGCAGAAAAAGTGCTGACATTTTGTGGGGTGATTGTAAAGCACCTAATACAGCTCCTGATTGGGACTGGTAAAGAGTACAGGAAATACAAATAATAACATAGGGAGTAATTTTAAATAATACTATGGAATAAATCCTTACCATTATTTAAATGTACATCTTTTCACTAAAATCTTATGTGTGGCCGGTTTGACAAGGGTAATATCCTACTGTTCAGCCAGGTAAGCACAAGACTTGGTGCTAGTGACTAACGTCAATAGCAGTAGATGTAATGATAGTAAATTGAAAACCACTCTTGAGTCACTAAATATCGTGTTATACTTTGGAAGCTGAAGCTCGGAGTCTTGGTCAAGGTGAGGGTTTCTGTTGCTATAACCTTGTTTCTTAAAAATATGGTTGGGGATTTTTTCCTAACAAATACTTGTATCAGAAAAATGTATGAGTGTATGCCAAGCCTGGCTGTTTGGTTGTTTACAGTACCTCACAGATAATTTTTTTTAACCTCTTTTCCTCATTTCCCCATGTCTGTCCTTGTAGGATTTATACTTAGTTACTGCCATTTTGTGTATGGAGATACCAAGATTTAAGAGGTCACAGGCCCAGTGATACTTAGTTACCTAATTTTCCTTTGATTAAAATTAGCCTGAGATTAATTATGTGGGAAGAACTGTGATCTAGTCACATTGTAATACTCTCTCAGCATTAGGATCTTTGGTTTTTGTTTGCAGCCTAATTCAAATTAGTCTCTGCTTGCCCATTTCTGAAAGGCAGAGATGCCTGCTTTTCTTGGAAAATGCTTAGGAAGCTCAGCAGAATCCTAGGATCTGGAAATTTCTGAAGTCACGAACACCTTGAGCTTTCAAGGAAAAAGGGAAACTCCTGGTGATGATTTCCTTCAAGTGGGACAACCAAGTACATCTTTTCACTAAAATCTTATGTGTGGCCGGTTTGACAAGGGTAATATCCTACTGTTCAGCCAGGTAAGCACAAGACTTGGTGCTAGTGACTAACGTCAATAGCAGTAGATGTAATGATAGTAAATTGAAAACCACTCTTGAGTCACTAAATATCGTGTTATACTTTGGAAGCTGAAGCTCGGAGTCTTGGTCAAGGTGAGGGTTTCTGTTGCTATAACCTTGTTTCTTAAAAATATGGTTGGGGATTTTTTCCTAACAAATACTTGTATCAGAAAAATGTATGAGTGTATGCCAAGCCTGGCTGTTTGGTTGTTTACAGTACCTCACAGATAATTTTTTTTAACCTCTTTCTGAATTAGTAGTCATTTCCCCATGTCTGTCCTTGTAGGATTTATACTTAGTTACTGCCATTTTGTGTATGGAGATACCAAGATTTAAGAGGTCACAGGCCCAGTGATACTTAGTTACCTAATTTTCCTTTGATTAAAATTAGCCTGAGATTAATTATGTGGGAAGAACTGTGATCTAGTCACATTGTAATACTCTCTCAGCATTAGGATCTTTGGTTTTTGTTTGCAGCCTAATTCAAATTAGTCTCTGCTTGCCCATTTCTGAAAGGCAGAGATGCCTGCTTTTCTTGGAAAATGCTTAGGAAGCTCAGCAGAATCCTAGGATCTGGAAATTTCTGAAGTCACGAACACCTTGAGCTTTCAAGGAAAAAGGGAAACTCCTGGTGATGATTTCCTTCAAGTGGGACAACCACTGCTTGAATAGGTGAAAATGGAGAGGCAATGTTTGGTAACAAAATGCTCTCCAAATGTGGTTGGCACAGTTTTCTTCTGAAAATCCTCTGCACATATTGTCTAAAGATCAGGCTATTTTAAGTCAGCATCTACAAATCAAGATATACATATTTGCTTATCACCTTTGAAAAGCTTGCATTTGTGTGTGGATGAGCTTCAGGTAAATGTGATTGTATAAGTCCCTGTGATTCAAGTTTTCATTGCTTAATCAGCAAACAACTCCACTTTTCTTTTTTAACTGCTTCTCGGTTTATAGAGCTTTTTTGTGCCATTTATTCTTCCAGCAAAAGATGTTGCTCCTGTATGTTGGGCTCTTTCTTTTGTAACATGCATGACCTAGGAACATCTGTTATGTGGTGTCTTTTTGTGAAGTTCTTATGGGACTGTCTGATATCATAGTGGTGCAAATTCAGGAAGGGGTAGCATTAGTTGCTGACCCAAGAAACACACTTATCCATTTTTACAAGCATTATTTGTCAGTCATGCATCTCAGCTGCAAAGAACCTGCACAATCAAAATAAGGGCTTGTGCAAACAGAAACAAGGGCATATTTTCTGTCCTGAAGCATTTACAGACTCAAAAATGTATATTTTTTTTTTTATGATCATGAGATAGATGTGAAAATAGGAAGCTTTACAGCAGTCTCTTAAAATTGTGTAGTACTAGTGACCTTGGGAACTGTTTGGGTCTGGATTCAAATGTTGCAACTCAGGCCCATCTTTCTCATCAAGCAAAAAAACATGACAGAGGGAATTGGTTGGAGTTGAAAGGAGCTGAGCTAACACTGCAAAGCTCTTGAAGAAAGCAAGCTGGAGATGTTACTGGTCAGTTGTGTCAGGGCTATAGTGTATGCTGGTGACTAAAATTTTAAAGTTTTAGGATTTGCTCCAGTGTTTATCAAAAGTCTGTTTTCTGAGTGGACATTGAAGACACTGGTGTCCTTTGTTACTATGTAGTAATTATGTCTTTACCTTTACTTGAAAGGTTCTCGTGCCAAAGGATCCTCTGTTAATGGGTAAGATGGTAGAAGTGAATATTTATGAAGCTGGGAAACATTTTATGAAAGGGCAACCCGTGTCAGATGCCAGAGTTTACACTGCATCCATCACCAGACCGTTAGCAAAAGGAGAAGTTTCTGGTTTAACAGAGGTGAGTAAAAGACATTTTCTGCTTTACTACACTGGTAAAACAGCAGCTGTTCAAGCATAATGATTCCATGCTATGTATCTGTTATCATTTTATAGTTCCCCTTTTATGTACGCATGAAGCTTTAATCTTTCCTGACAGATTGAAATCTGAATTTAAAAGATGTTTTTGCTGATGCCCATAGCTTTACTTTGCTTACTGTAAAGGGAGTAATATGCTTGTTTCTTGTTCCTCTTGTTGAGGAAAGAACTCACTAGAAATGAAAAGATTTAACACCAGTGATTATATAATTTAATGTATTTCAGTTCTAGTTCAGTGGAAGGATGAATCTGTTTATTTTGGTTTACAAAGCTGTTTTAAAAAATGTGTATTGATTATGTGTCTGTTAAAGCAGGTCAAAAGTGGGTTCAGAGATTCAAAATTAATTGATGGGTAGGGGTATGGAATATTTACAATATATTTTGGAAAAAGGTCAACATCTGATTTAGTCATGTAAAGAAAATGAAACTCTCTTAAAAGGAGATCTGATCCTTATTTTACACCTCAGTAGATATGGCTGTTAGCCAAGTATTCTCAGACATTTCATGGAGCTCTAGTTGTAAAAACTGATGGAGTGTGAAATGAAAATGTGTATCACATTTCTAAGCATCATTTGATGTCCTTTCTCCAGCACTGTTGTTAGGATCTCCAAAAATATGTAGCAATAATTTAGCACATGGAAGAAGGATAATTGGCAGTTTATCCAGCCACCTTGCTGCTTTTGCACTAAATTGTTGACAAGTATTAAAGTATATATGCATCCTTGTTAAAGATCTAAGTAGTCATATTTAAAAGAAATAATCAATGCATACCTTATGTGACTAGTGTTAAGCTAAGCTACTTGGTCTCCTGAATAAACCTGGCTATGGAAACACAGAGCATAATGCACCTCCTTTAATGTGTTTAGCAGATCATGAAACTTAAGGACAAACACACTGCTAAACTCTCCTTTGAATAGTGTCTGTGTGTATGTGTATATTGGCCTGATAAGGCTCTGTAAGAGGAAAAAACAGCCAAAACCCTTAGATTGTCTGACTGGACTATGTAGCTATTTAAACGCATCTGATTTTTTAATCAGAACACTTTTTTTTAATAATCTGCTGGAACAGAACCAAGCCTGTCATTAGACTGAGTACACACTGCCAGAAGCTTGTAGCATGGGAACAAGCAAGCAGACTGTTGACTGAAGTTTCATATGTTAAAAATGAGAGATAAGAATATTAAAATCAAGAATACTGTTATTTTCTCTAAGAACTCATTGAAATGTATAGATCTGCTCCTGCCCTGTAAGTAGATATGAACAAGTACCTGGAATGCCCAAGCAAATGGCTACAGCAAGCGAATAAGACAAATTGCTTTTCATGACTTCTGTGGCTGCCAGTGCTCCTTCAAGGGAGTATCTTGTTTATGTTTGGTTCACTGGATGTGTTCGGAACTTCATCTTTCTGGAAAAAACTAGAATCTCAATACTTCAGTAAATGGAACATCTTTTGTACAGGGAAGCTATAGCTGAAAGGTTTTAATCATGCTTGGCCAATGTATAATATGTAGAACATGAACTGAAATTGTTAGTGGGAAGTTCCTCCTCACAAATCGTATGTAAGTAGCAAATCAGGAATTTTCTTTAGGTTCTGAGGGAAAAGAAGTCACAGAAGTCATCATTGGTTTTTGGCTGGGCAAAAGATGCTCTTCATGTTGCTTTGTGTGGTTGAACTGCTCGGAAACATTTCCTGCTAGATGCGCTTGAGACATGTAATTCCAACTTAAGATGCTTATGAGTAAGATAAAAGGGGCACTGTATGTCATATGACTCTTTATATAGCTTGTTATGTGCCCGGGTGGCAGGCTGAGGAAAGAAGAACGAGACGACTTAGAGTGTATTTATCCACATACTCCCTCAAAAGTAGCCAAAGATCTTGGATCGTCAACAAGATCCCAAGGGTCTCCACCAGATTTTCAAAATGGCAGCATGCAGAACTAAAACCTTGGATAGCTTTTACTTTGTCAGGCTATCAACTAGAAGAAACAGTTACCTAAAACAACTTATAAAAGCAAAAAATGAAAATGTAGTACTTTGACTTTCTCCTTCCCACTTTGCACACAAACGAACAAGAATTAGGACCACCTTTGTATTCCCAGGTGTGAAAGGTTGGGTAGCCAGCTGCCAAGTGGTTCTTTCAGTTCCTCAGCAAGACTGTCCTCAGGGAAGAAGCCCTTTTAGGCACCAACCAGCATCCTGTAACTGGCATGCTATCTGAGGTGCCCACAAAGTTTCTAGTGGACTTCTAGTCTCACCCTATCAGCGGTAGGACTTCATCTCAACTCCTTTATGTTTGCTGCTCCGTGATGAGAGCTAGTTCAGAGAAGCACGTGAATTTAAATGTAGATCGAGCTGATGTAGATCAAAAGAGTGTGATAATGGGCTTGTACTGCAGTAAAACATTTATGTGCTTCAGTCCATTCCCACTCAACACAGCAGTTGGCTCTTTCCTAATGCCCATGTAGATCACCAGGGCTGCAGTGCACACCGTACTGGTCAGCATGTTGTGCAAGGACTATGATGAAGAGGGATAGATTGCCAAGTCAGAGCTGTAACCTGGTTGCAAACAGTTTGCAGCAGTTAAAAAGCTGCTATTTTTGTACTGAATCCTAGGCGTCGCTCGCTATTATTAACAATATTTTCATTAGCTTGCATGGGACACAATAAAAGATACTTCAAAACAGAACGCAGCTGTACTTCTCTCTAACGAAGAGTGTTCACAGGAGAAGGAGACCTTTCAAAACTGTACTGTTTTTAGGGAAATTATTCATATAGCTAAAAAAATAAAGTTATAAAAATTGAGAGCGCCATTACAGGAGGATGTCAAAGCAAGCCACAAACCCATCCTAAGCAAGAAGAAACTTCTATAAATGCTGTGATGAGTAATACCTCCAAAAGTCAGAGCTTATCTGCATTGCGTGCTCTCTTTCTCGTCTGCCCTATGTCCCTCAATAATTTTTTATTAGTTCAGAGGGGACACTACAAGCAACATGGTGTAGTTGAAGGAATAATTGTTTTTTTACCTTTTTGACTGCACGACTTGGGTGAAAAATTGGTCTAAAGAAATACAAGAAGTAGGTCACCAACTGGAATTAACAGATTTGACTGGAAAAGAGGGAATGTAAAATGTCACGCAAAGGGCAATTTACAGGCTCTATAAAATATTCACACATTGTGTATCTGTGCCAAATAAGAAGCAGGCAAATATTGATAGAGTTAATTGAGGATATTTCTAGCATATCTTTTTATCGTGCTTTTTCAGTATATAAACACCACGCCTAATATGTATATCCATTAAGATACTAATGATGTAGAATCTCTTAGCAGTTATTATATTCTCTAAGGAAAAAACTGTGACTAAGTAGATGGGCTTAGAATAAGGTTTTGACATTTGATAACATTAGGCTCTGTGACAGAAGTTGTGACAGGAAGGACAGAGGAATGTAGGAGTCAGCAGCTCAGGTTAAAAAGCTGTCAAAAGCGATCAGACTTGCTGGTTGTAGTGGACATATTAAATATTAAAATGCACAGGTGTTTGCCAAGATTTTATTTTTTTTTCTAACTTCGGCATGATTTTTTTATAAAAGCCTCTCAAAAGTGAATGATGTCTCCAAGTTGCACAATTTTACAGGAGGGCTATTCTGGGAACAAATACATTTTGAAATGTCAATTAACTCAGGATTTTAAATCTACTATAGATTTATTTGGATTTAAAGTGATTACTGCTGGTTCAGTAATAGAACTATGTTTAGCAGATACGTAGCAGAGGATATATAGGTGCAAGTTGAAATCAATAATACATGAACACATGTGTGAAGGTATTTTTATATTTGGTTCTAGTGAATCTAACAGGATATATGTGGGCTGGGCATTAAAAATTATTGATGGTAACATTAAAAATCATCATTTAGACAAAACAGGCATATCATGAGTTATAAACTGCAATTACAAATAGCTGAATAAATATTTCAAATCTTTGATCAAGAATTAGTTCTACTGTGTTTCGTTGGAAAAAAACCAACATGTAAATGCTGCGGATGTGATATCCTTTCACTGAGATATGCTTGGAGTTGGCAAAGCAGTTTGAGATTCAGTAAAGCAATTTGGGGTGTCTGCTGTGTTCTTAAGCACCCTGGTAAACTAGCTTTTGAGATTTTTGAGGTGGGTTTGCAACATAGTACTGAGTACATTGTCACTGGATAATAAATATTTTTGAAAAGTCAGCAGTGTGGATCAACAGTCTGAATGTCATTCAGTTTTAGAATAACATTTTAATATTTTTATTTTTATTTATTTTATTTGGCCATGTTTAGGGATCTTGACAGTTTCTCAGCAGCATAAAGTCAAATACCTAATAAATATACACTGTTTACAGAGAAATGTTTGCCCAAACCTAATAATTGGAAAAAAAAGTCAAGAATCTGCAAGAATCTGATCTGGTTAGATATGGAAACAGAGTATGTTATGCTTCTGTACTCCAAAAATAATTCTAGTTGTTTACATATGTTCTGTGACTAGAGGAAAAAAAAATATTGCAAGATGAGAAATATATGAAGAAGAGACTAAAGGACTGAGGGATAAAAATAAAAGGCTGGCTACCTGCCAGAGCTATAATGAATTGCCAAAAATCAAAGCCCTATAAGTCTGAGGGCCTTTGCTGGGAAATTTTCATCAGATGGAAAATTAAGGCAAGAAAAAAAATAATTTTAACAGGCTATGTAGTTATGTAGTCATGATTATTTTGTGTTTGTAATTCCTGTTTCTGTAACACATCTCTGGCTTTCTTTTCAAGCAAATATAGGCTCGCCTTTATCTCAGTTATCTGTTTTCCATTGGTTTATGTGATAATATTCTCCATCCAACACTTACCCTGTGAACGACTCCTGCTCTCAGTCCCCATTTGCAATGTCTCCCTTTGTGAGTG